TTCTCAGCATCTCTCTCTCTCTGAACTCTGTGAACCTGCTCTACCTGCCTCACTGTCAGCAGTGAAACACAATGCACTCATATTTGCTATTGTCATGCATTTGCTTGGTGAATCTTTATGCAATGTGCTCTTTAAATGTAATTTATTATACGCCACATATCCCACAATGCAACATGTAACGCTGACAAGATAAACAATGGCGATTGTCTTTTTCAGCAGTGGCGCTGACTAAATGAAAAGTCTAACAAAGACTCCAGCAGCTTCTGTCTCATGCAGAACATGACATTTTAAAAATAATGCAGCGGCGAGATGAAGGCGGGACAGAGATTGTCACTGGGAGACTGTGGGCTGAGAACGATGCACCAACTTGGGCAAGAAAAGAAATATTTGACAGTGGTAAAAAGAAGTAGTTGCCTTTAACATCTCTCCGGTGCACTGCAGAAAAAGAGGCTTTGCGCTCAGCAAGCTTAAAGGTTTATGAACAGCGAATGTCCCAGAACAGAGCTGAGGGGAACAGGGTTGTTTAAAACACAACCAGCAAAGACAGCTCATGTGGTTTTACAATGAAAGATGGTTCCTGCACTTTCTACACTTTGAGAAAGAAAAAGGTTTCACTGAAACTATAGCCCCAAGATACAGGATTTTTTTTAAGGCTCAGCCGAGATTCTCTTTTTTATATAAACACGTAACTTTATAATACAACTTCTTTGTGAAGGTTAAACTTAAATTAAGTTTTTTAAACATCGTGACCAAGATAAGTTTGAGTAAAAGGCAAATTCGTAGTTTCCTCGTCTGCCAGCAAAGTGACCTTTGTTGTCCACTATTGTCTTTGTGACATGTCATCATCCACCTATGTCCACTATATGTCCAAATGCAGCCTTAAAAGTGTGACCAAGCTAAATGTGCATATCGACTGTGCGTGCTCTCGGTACAACCATTTCACCTAATGGAATCAAAAGGAAAGTGAGATCAGGTATGCATGGGTGGAACCTGAGGCCGACATGGTTTTAGTATGAATGGATCTGTGGGTATTCATGTGTGACCCAAATAAGTGCAGAATGAGTTTACAGCCGAGGAGCTCTGTTAGTCTGTGTTCAGGTACCATGGTGGTGCTTTGACCTGAATGCTAACATCCATCTGCTACTATAACAACAATGACAATGATAACATGCTTATTTGCAGAGGATATAGGTTAATGTTGTACACTATACTCACAATCTTAGCTCAGCATGTTAGCATGCTTACATATGCTATATTATACACACAGGTGAGTCATCACCAATAAATTAAAAATCACAATCAGTTCTGAGAAAGATGCCCTAATGTGATTGGTCGTTATGGTTATAATCAGTGTGGTCGGATTATAAGAATAACGTGTAGCCAATGTCATGAAAACTCCCTACAGACTGTAAATAAAGATGGACAACAAATTCCCACTTCCTCCCGTGAAGCCACCATCTTGTGCTTTCAATGTCATTTGGTCCATGTCCCATCTGCTAACATCGAGGAAGCAGGATTTATGGCATATACTGCAGCCACCAGGGGACAATCAAGAGGATTTGGCTTCACTTTCAGGGAGGGTGTTATGTTGTCCATCTGTCAATACAGTCAATGCAATTCATCCACTAGATGTAAAGATATTTGACTAACAGCAAAAAGACAACCTCTTGGCGGCGCTAAATACATGTCAGGTTATCACATAGTCATGGGGATTTCCCCCAGAGGATGTCGGCATGTTAACGCAATTTGTCGAGTAAAATTTTACAGCAAGACTACAGAGCCAAGGAGTGACATGGAAATGAAAATAACTGATGTGCACAATTGAGTAATTACTCATCTCCACCCACGACATTTTCTTTGTGGCCCCATTAAGTCAGCAGGAGGTTTGAAGAAGATATTTTTGAGGTGCTTCAGAACTCTTAAGCTGAGGTTTGTGAAGTGGCGTCATCAACGTTTTTTTATAGATGCTGCCCTGAAAAATATATTTAAAGGATCTCAAAAATAACAACTTCTACAGCCATGTGAGTCCAACATCAAAATAGAACTGTACTGAATCAAATCCAATGAGAGTTTGAAGTGTGCACATAAGATGAGACTAATGGCATTAAGATATAATAAAGAATGCTAAATTTAGAGTATAAATCAAAATTGAAAGAATGAATTCTGAAAAAAATCATCAAATACACTTTTTTTTACACATCGTAGACTCTGTGTGGTCCTGTTGAGCTGAGGCATTCATAGGAAACCAAAGCAATGGTCTGACTGACCAACAGACTGTCAACTATCATGCTACCAGCATGTCTAAAAATAAACTTGTCACTGGTCTTTGGTGTCATTATTTCTAATCTACATTAAACATAATGGTATTTCTGGATTGTTCTTTTGTTATGTCTTGTCTGATACTGATATTTATAGCCACGCTCTGCTGGAGCTAGAAGAAATTAGGACCCCAAACTGGTCCTGTCTTCTAACAGCACAGATTAAAATAAACCATGCTGACAAAGGGAAGGTAATTCTCTGTGTGCAGGATGGTTTTATAATTTACTTCATGGTGTTTATCAGTTTCTTCAAGACAGAAATATCCTGATTAACAGCAGTATTAATCCTTATCAGCATTGTTTTTTTTCTCCATTTTGATGATAATTTTGGTTATAAATTGTTCTACCTCCACCAAGAAGCTATGTGTTTAACCCCTGTCTATTGTTTGTCAACAGGATTATGCAAAATATTCAGAACAGATTTCCATGAAACTGATGGGAGGCTGGATGGGACATGGGCCAAGAATGTAGCCATTCCATTTTGGAGTGGAGCGTGACAAAGGGAGGATGCTGGCACTTTTAATCACTTTCTCTAACATTGTGAAAATTCTGGAACATTTCAGTAACTGATATTTATGAGTGTGTGAGATTTGGTGCAGCCTGGTTGAAGGAATGCGCTCTACTGACTGGGTTTCTAGTTATTTCAACGATTTTTCACAGCATGTGAACTGGACAGCACCTTGTTGTGACGACATGATCATTATTTTTTATGTTTGAACAAATTGTGGTGTTAAAATGAATTATTCCAAACTGTAAGGCTGAACAAAATTTGTTATCTAAGTTTTTGTTTCACACATATGATCAGTTTTACGGTCCAGTGATTGTTTTATTAATATTGTGATATTTCAACAATATCACCCAGACCTAACTGAGCAATTAGACAGTTTGTTTTAACTGCAGTGATGGTCCTGTGTAATGGTGCATGAATATTCAATAATGTAAAAGTGGAAGCCAAAGCACATGTGTGTGAATGTGTGTGTAGCTGTGAGCCCAGTCCCTGTAGTATTAAGCCACAGTTGACCTGCTTAGAGTCTCCTCTGGCAGAGGAAGACAGAGGGTTGACGGGGCTGCTGCTTGTTACGGTGCAGCCATTTCATGCCGTGTGAGGAGGGAGAGCCCGGGGCCGCACCATGAGGACCCCTCAACAACACAGGCTCAGCAGCGTGGCACCAAACAGCTGGAGGACTGGCTCACCGATCTCACATGCACACATACTGTAGCGCCATTCACCTCTGCCTGCCAAATCCTGCCTCAACCCAAACCTGCATTCTGTGATAACACTGAGCATGAAGTGTAAGAATAAGCCACCTGTAACACTGAATCTAATTATTTGTTTTACAAATGGTAATATTCAACACAACAGCGGAGATATGACCAATCAAGTTGAGATAAATATTAAATATTCAACACTCAAAAAAAAAAGAAAGCCAAGAGCAGTAGTAACAAGAAAAAAAAATGCTTGAGTGTGAAATGGATCTCATATATTACATCGTCTCACCACCAACCTTCACAGAGCACAAATGCAACCTGCAACAATGACACACATTTTTGCGAGGCAAGCATACAGTGACAGTGACATGCGTGACTTGATGCTTACCCATCCACCCGTTCCCGTCATCCTCGGGAACATTGCATAATAGGACAGAGATTAGCCTTGTGGGCCCTAAAACATCAGCAGTGTCTGACAACAACTCAACCTTGTCCTTTCCATCTGAGTGAAACTAAATGTAATGTTTTCACATCATCTGTGTACCTCTGAGCTGCTTAGTTTCAAAACAACAAGCATTTGTATCCAGTTCGAAAATTCTATTGTCTTTAAGATTATGTGGTAAATTAGTCACCGACAATTAATTTTTCACACGTCTCTGCGGAGGCCTGCAATTCAACCACTAGAAGAGCATTTATCTTTGAACTAACTCCCATTTTTAGAGTATTTGCTCCAGATCAAACCCTTTTAAATCAAAGGTTTGTCCAGAGTCATACAATTGCTAAGACTATGGCAAAAAAATACCCAGGATAAATATGGGTTTTTCGGTGCCTCATTTTCAGGAAGCAGAAAACAGTCAAGTAAAAGGTCGACATGATCATGTCTTCTGCAGATATACACTAGTAATGTCTAAATCCTCTGGACATATAACTGTCCTGCTGTTAATTAAGTTAGCTAATCAAAGTATGATCTGTATATTACTTTGACCTCTATGACCCCTTCAGGGCCGCCTGGGGCCTCTGTACTTCCAGGTTAGTCCTCTACCTCCCAGTGAAAGGCTATGAACAGGGTATGAAAGGTGTATGAACATATGAACTGGGTATAAACAGATTATGAACCGGGTACGAACAAGGTATGAACATGGTATAAACAGGGTCTAATCAGGGTATAAACAGGTTATGATAAACCGGATATAAACCACTTATGAACATGGTATACATATGGTATAAACATGTTATGAAGATTGTATGAACATGGAAAACAGGGTGTAAACAGGGTGTAAACAGGGTGTAAACAGAGTCTAAACAGGGTCTAAACAGGGTATGAACATGGTATAAACAGGATCTAAACATGGTATGAACAGGGTGTAAACAGGGTATGAACAGGGTGTAAACATGGTCTAAACAGGGTATGAACAGGGTGTAAACATGGTGTAAACAGGGTATGAACATGGAATAAACAGGGTATGGACTCACGTGTATGAGCTGCCGGCTTTGATCTCCTGTTTGATCTGCCTGTTTACAGCATCCGCCGCCGCCCTCCCTTTGCCCTCTCCGTCCACCTTCAGGACGACTTGTTGTTTGGTGGGCCGTTTTTTCCTCTCGGGACCCGGCAGCAGGTCTTTCTCCTGCACCTTGTCGGCTATAGCGCTCTTCTCCACACCGCTGTCAACGTGCTGCTTCGCGTGTCTGGACCTGTCCGGTGCCCGGTCCTCCCCGGCGGCTGGAGGTTTCGGTATCCAGGGATGGTCGTACCTTTTCGGGATGGGCCAGGGCTTGTAGTCCTTCTGGTACTGGGTCTCGCTGTTGAACGGCGTCTCGGGCCCGTGGTACTCGTTCTTGGGTTTGCAGCTCGGTTCCGGTCGCACCTTCCAGTGCTTGAAGTCCTCGCGCATCACCGAGCTGCACACGCGCTCCTCGGAGACGCACCTCCGCGGCGCGCGTGGGGCCGTGGCGCGGGCTTCGGCGCGAGACGGCTGCGTTTCTATGGCGACCCGGGCCTGCGGCGGCTGCAGCTGGATGTGCTGCATCTCCGACACGTCCGTGTACTTGGTGAAGACCAGAGGCACCGCGATGTCCGCCTTGTCCAGCTGGTTCCAGAAGCGGGCCATGCAGCACGCCCTGCTGATACAGGGCCACGCCATGCTGCGGGTCACACAGCGACACAACAACCCACGAGAAGCTCCTGCTGCCCCGGAGCCGAGCGGAAAAAAAGATCCTCCTTACTCTCCGAGAGAAACAAGATGTCCGTGTGTCAGGCTGCGGGGATGACTCCGCTGTTGGCGTTAGAGCAGGTTGTCAGGTAAATCCATCGTGCTCGGAAAATACACAACCACAGAATTGAACCAGTGTGATTTCTTAGACAACAGCCGCACTGATGTTAGCTCTGCTCCCCCGTGTGTCCCTCTGTGTCCCGGACCTGTCTCCACATCACTCCACGGCACAGCACTGCGAGACAACCCGGCCCCGCCCGCTCAGCATCCCGGAGAACCACCACCGGAGGAGACCGCTGTCAAGTCAGAGGGAAAGTCACAAGTGACTTCCGGTTTACCTTGCAAAGTAAAAGCCTCAGTGTCGCTCAGGTGAAGCGGTATAATTTGAGACAAGGAAAACAGAGGATGTTTGAAATGATTTGTATTGAATGATGAATAGTTCATTTCAGAATCAAGAACCACCAAGTCCACCAGAAACAATAAACTAGGCCTGGAACGTTATTGATGACATCTGAATTGTCATTGAATCATTGTTGATTTCCGTTAGAATGCGGATAAACATGGCGAACTTGACGGAAATGATTCGGCTTCCTGATACAGGAGGAGGGACGTGTGGTCCATCCATCACATGGCTGCTTCTCCCATCATCTAGCTAGATATGTGTTAACATTAGAGAAAACAGGAAGGTTTGGACTAACAAACTATTAAAAGAAAACATATAGTCAGAGACTACATAATATTCTAATTATTACTAAAGATGTTAGATTGAAGTAAACAAGATGGTTTGGTTTAAAAAGACAATATCAAGTTGGATAATGTTGTCACTCACTGATGACTTTACATTTAATATTTTAGATTCTGTCATGGGAGCATAACAATAAAACATTTATATTTCATGACAAATATGGCCTATCAAAGCCATTCAGTGATTGCTTCTGATTCATGCAAATTGTCTTTGTGACTAAGTCTATATGTTTTTGGCAGACAACACACAGGACATGAATAATGCCAACACACTTACCCCGAGGGCCTGTTTCACAGTGGACTGCAATTTCTGAAAGACATATGAAAGACAAGCACATTATCTTTTCTCAGAGGCTTTTATAATGGAGGTGGGGATCTTATTTTTAGACGCAACAATAACTCTTAAGCTTTAAAACATGATGTTTTCTGTTGTGTAGCTATATATTGACTACACAAGCGGCTAGCGGCTGCAGGTTAAACATTAACTATGGATCAAAGTGTTAACGAGGTCATTATTATGGGTAGTGAACCCATAAATAAATTAATAATTAATAAACATGTGATCAAAGAATAATGCGGTGGCAAGCAGACCCATTGTCCCTGGCAAATACCAGTCTGACTGAAGGGAATTGGTGAAACATAAAGCGAGAGAGGGAACATGGATTCAGTTTTACAATCCTCTGTCTGTCTCTGTGTTGAGATGTGATGCAATCCATGCATGACTCCTCCTATGTCTCCTGTTCTACTTCCCCCTCCATCAGAACCTTAGATAACCCTTTCATTCTCCCAAGTGTGTTGAAAGCCCTTCACCTTAATTTTTGTCTTGGCTGTGTAAAGATTATATAAAACTGCAATTGTACTTTCCCTTTCCCAATGTCAAACAATATCCAATAATTTCAAAGTATTTCATGCAACACTGATAATGGTATTATGTGGTAAGAAGTGTGTCAGGGCCTTTATTGCTTGTATCGTTATGTGATTGCTCAACCAGACCAGCACATTACACAGTCAGGCTAACCACTGACCTCTCTCCCGTGAAGGGAAGGGAGTTAAATAGCAGTAAAAGCAACAGTAAAGAGTCTACGACTTCCCTCTCTTCCACTCACTTATGGTTATTTTCTCTTTGCATGTGGTTCAGCTTTACTCTGTTTTTCAGTAACTTTGTCCTTGCAAAAGCCTGATATGGACTGACAGATCAATCCCTGTATTGGGTTTCTGAGATAAGAGCGTCAATCAGAAAGGATGGTGGAGAGGTGATAGTCGCGTACTTTGGACCCACTTCACTTGCTCTTCTTCTTTGCCACAGGCTGCAGCGTCGCGGGTAGTTTCTCTTCTCTCCTGTAAAACATGAAGGTTGATTTTGCCCCCCTGGATGTGCCATTCCAGAGGAGACTGCAGACAGCCTCGGTGCTGCAGTGGGTCTACTCTTTTCTTGGCCTGGGTGAGTTTGCATATTAGTGAATGGAGTATTGGTGAAATAGAACTGCTAATGGAGCAAAGGTCTACTACAGTTAATCATCACTTAATTCCACTAGGTGTTCAAACATGTTGGCCTGGCGGCTCTTGGGTAAAATTTAAGTAGATTTGAGAGGAAGAACATGATCTCAGTAAAGCGTAGTCCTCACAATTCTGCTATGTTTGTACCCACCTACTGTGTTTATTCAGCTCTAAGAGACAAGTGCTGTGTAACTCCTGCTGCCATGTTTCAAATGTTTGTTTTTAAATTTTTAAACTGGATGTTTCTGCAATTATGTGTAATATATATGTATATATGCAGAATATTCTATATTATTTATGTTATTTGTTGTCTTTTAATACAAGACGAGAGACATAGAATAGGAAAGTGGATATAAATGCAGTCCATTTGACCATGTACCAAAAAAGGTTCACTGAGATTAAAAAATTAAATCATGGACTTTACAGTCTAACATTTGCCCACCACCCCCCCAACCTCCTAACTGAAGCCCACTTTATTCTACTAAACCCATTTTTATGAGACTCATAAGTACTGATAATGTCGTTAAAGTATAGATGTAGTACTGTTTTTGAAATGAAGATTTTTAACTGAACACTGATGACTGTGTGAACCTGGAGATCCCCAAGCTAAAGTTAGGTAATAGTGACATATCAAACTGTACTCACATCACACAAAATCACATTCTCCCATTGAGTGTCTCTGTGTTATCTGTAATCACCAAGACCACATGTGGTATCATCAGCAGAGTTGCATGCTGCTGACGCAGAGCACATACCGCACAACATACCGTTCATAACATGACTAAACTCATGATATTCTACTGTAACCATTCATACAGGGTCTATTACATTTGTTATGGCAGGTCAGAGTGGATGCTAATATGATAACCTTGTGTAAAAATGCTGCTGATACACTGACTCTTTCCTTCCTCAGCACCCACCTGCATCTTCCTGTTCTTCTACCTGCTCTTCACCCGTTACTGGCTGATCAGCGTGCTGTACGCCATCTGGTGGTACTTTGATTATGACACCCCGGCACAAGGAGGCCGCAGGTTGCATTTTCTGTGTGGCCTCAAGGTTTGGGAATACATGCGGGATTACTTCCCCATCAAGGTGAGCAGCTGCTTCTTGATAGCATGTGTATGAAGCCCAAATTTTAATGATCAAATGGTTTCCATCACAATTATAATGACCAAGGTTACCATGGTTTTCAGTATTAAAGCTCTGTTGTTAAAGAGTGCTGAAAATGTTCAATTATATATTTATGAGAAATAATGTAGCACTATATGACACCATTTAAAGATGCAACATTTACATGGGAGTGATAAGGCTTTAGCTTGCTAAAGAAGTCATAACATAATATCTTGATAATGTTGAAGACATCAAATACAGCAGTGTTCTCCAATTTTCAGTTTTCTCTGAATCAAAGTAATACAGACAACTGAAATAAATCTGTAGCTCTGATACCGCCTGCTGCTTCTTCTGCCATGTTTTTACAACACACAACAAATGCACATTGCTTGTTGTGCTGGTATCTTGGAAACCTTTTTAATGTGGTTGATGCTGGACATTATCAACCCACTCACCCCAGTAGTTACAGTTTCAAGGATTGAAAATGTCGAACCAACGGTCAGGAATTTGACCACGGTGTCCGTATTCTCCCTAATGTATATTTTATATACATCACCACCTTTAAGTAGCCCTCACGTCCATTTTGGACATTATGGGATTCATCTCTGCAGCACAGGTCTGCCAGTTTATCTAATCTTTGATCTCCACCTACATACAAGAGCAGTGAATCTTATCTCTGTCCTTGGCAGCAATTGGACCACTGTTTGAGGACGCCCCTCTCTTCCCTTTAGTCATGTACTGCATATGTACACGCAGAACTGTCTCTGTGTATTTACATAGTGCTAATGAAAGAAACGTCACTGTCAATACTTCCTTAATGAACTTGAAAATACTGAAAAGCTGAAAAAAAGATTTCGCTTCCATACTGCGCAAACAAACATGCTCATTCTGAAAGTTAGATGCGCAGATTGATGCCGCTCACATATGTGTCTGTTAAATATGCAGCATGGAGACAGTAAGCTTAGGTTAGCATAAAGTCTGAAAGCAGAAGGAAACAGCTGGCTGCCATGGCTGTTGCTGATGGGTTATTGGGATACTTCCAGGAGTGGCGACCTCAGGGTGAACTTCAGGATGTCACTGCTCCTGCAACAAAATAAAACAGAACATTAAACAAACAATATGCAAATATTATATGGATTTATAAGTGTTTCTAAGCTTTATGCTAAGCTAAGCTAAATGTATTTTCCTGGCTCTTCAAATTTAATGGACAGAAAGGGATATCAGTCGTCTTGTCTAATGATTGGCAAGAAAGTAAATAAATGTATTTTCCAAAATTGATTACTTTAGCTTTTTCTGCAGATTTAGGGCAAAGTCACTCACACACAAATGTCATGGGTCAAAGTAAATGAAAGTCGATGAATTCCACGTGAAGCCACTCTGCACATTGGCTGTGCTACAGGGTGCAAATATTTGATTTGCCTCCTTGCTCACACAGATTGGAAGTAAGAAGGAGGCGAAGGTTCTCTACTCGCTTATATGTGATTGTTCTCTTACTCTGGCGGGTCACCTGACCCAGGGGCTGCTGCATAAATATTCCCACACGTTAGTCTATATAACTGAGGTAATATGGATAACTGCTCATTATTGCTACATATGTTTCTCTGAAATGTATTTGCTTTGTTTTGCCTGTTTTGATGTGGTTACCAGGGGAGATAAGTCAGCAGTTATACTTCAGGTTCACATAAATGAACAGTGCTGCTGACACAGGACAGGACTCAATGTGCAAATCACACTTCTCTGGGGCAGCCCGTTAATCCCCTCTTGTGGGTGTTCATGGGTAGTGCGTGTCCTTCACTTGCCTTCTATCGAATGAAGCCTGGTATTTCAAGCGTCTGCAAGCGTCATCTCAAACTTAACAAGAGTCTTTTAATCTGGACAAATAACTGGAGGGCATCTCATAGGAGGAATTCACAGAGCAGCATTCTCCAGAATTTAAAGCTCATAGAGAGGAGGCTCATAACTTCAACTGGACTGATAAGGCCACAACAATACTGCCATAAAAAAAAAAAAATTCAACTGCAATAGGAAACAAACACAAGTTCCAAAATGTTTTAAAAAGGGCTCTGCAAGCGTCATCTCAATCATTGCTAAGAATATTTGACAAATTTATTGGATAACAATTTTATTTAAATAGGCTAAGTAATCATTGTCTTGCATTTTGTTTAAATATATATATTATATTAAGAAACTTAATGCATTATATTTGTAAGATCTTTTTATCTTAACAGAAATCTATTTTCTGCATGTATGGGAAGAGATGAGTTAAGGACATGCGTCATTTGAACATTTGTGTTCTTCATGTGATGTTTTCACACGTCACACGGTTATATCATGGATCTATTAATTATTTCTGCCAAAGTGTCTGTGCATGTGCTTGTTTGTTTTTTTACATGTGTCTATGTACATTTTTTTTTTTTTCAACCGTCAACCCTCAGGGACTGCAGATGAAACCTTGCCTGGGTGGCAAAATCTACCAAATGTAGTCACACTTAAATATACA